GGGGGGGGAGAGAAAGAGAGAGCCATATAGGGAATGGGGAGGGGAGGGCGGGGAAGGTTAGGTCCTGTCTTCCTGGCATGCCACACGTCCGCGGCGCGGTCCCCCCCGGGGCGCGTGCCTGTGCGTACGACCCGCGGACACGGTGTCACGCGTTGTCACATGGTGTCACACAAGGAGCCCCTTGGCGTCGGCACCAGGTCACCGCGGGCAGGACAGTCCGACCCATTTCACTTTGTATCGACGTACCCCGCCGCACCTCGTGAGCGCTTTGAGTCGCGGCCGCGGTGGGGCAGCTCGTCGGCGAGGAACTCGTCGGGTCCGGCGCCTCGTTCGGGGCGCGAAGCGCCTCCAGCGCTCGGCCTCCACCTCCACCAGGAGCGCGAGCGTGGACGAGAAGAAATGACTTTTACGAGGGGCTCTTGCGAAAGTTTCGCGAGCTAGTGGGGGCCGAAGCGAGGCTTGCCTGCAGAGCTCGAAATTATGAATCCCAGCACACTCACACCTGTTTCTCAAGCCGATTAATGCGCCACAGAAAGCAAAACGACCTTTCCATGGCAAAGAGTCTATCGTCCTCGCCCTAGCCCCACCCGCTCCCTCCCACCAGCACGGCGCTCAGCCCGCGACGACGGCCGAGTCGGGCAGCCTTTGAAATGGCACGGCCAAAGCTTTTAGGTGCGCGACGGGTCGAGAGGACCGTTACAATGGAACCTGCCGGCCCCGGGCCGGGCTGGCCAGCTGACCAGGTGTCCCCGACAACCTGGACGCTAATCGTCCGGCAGGCCTCTCCACGACTTCCCATTCCCATCCCTCCGCGGGACTCTCTCTATCGCCTGACCCGATCATCTGACCCCGCGATCTATCGAGACCGACTCGATAGTCTCGACTTCGTGCGGAGCGCGCGCGCGCGCGCCCCGCGGGTGAGTGACACACACGCACGCTCGCTCGCTCGCGAGCACTGGAACAGAACGGCGCTCTCGTAAGCCTCGTTCAATTACGCAGCGTTTCGCCAGGCAGGCACCGGAGCGGGGGGTTCGACGGGTTCGACGTTCGATACATTGAGAACACGGGCCTTCTGCGCGGACCCCGCGAGGTTTTTAGCTTTGGCGGGAAGGAGAAGAAGGCGCGAACGAGCGGCGTGCATGCAGTCCGCAGTCGGTCGAGGCGGGCGTTGCACAAACTGCCCGCTCAGCTCGACAAGAGCTGGCTGCCCGCCGCCGGCGGCCGCCTGGCCCTGGTCGCGTCTCCCTGCGGTAGCGCTCGTGCGCGCCCTGGTGACGCCACGGCGCGCACGCCTAGTGTCACGCGCCGCTGCAGGCCGCGAAGGGCCCCGTCAGCTACTCGACACAACATGTCGGCCCAGCGTGCAGCTGTTTACCTAGTCGTTTCACCCACACCCTACCTACCTGGTCCAGGTCTCGATTTACTGTACTATTTATAACGCGAAATTATGCCGCAATTTTAGGTGCACTAAAGTGCTCTCTCATGGGGATCAAACCCCGCTATAGGAGGGCGGCGCTGAGCGAGTGGGGTCGGCTGAGTGGCGCGCGCCGCCTGCACTGCGGAGGAGGAACAATCGACGGGGACCGTTTTAACCGGTGCGGGGTGGGACGGGGCGAGGTGAGGTAGCTGGCGGGTGGCTGCATGCGGAGGCGCCCCGCGGCTGGAGGCGGTGAGATCTCAGAGAGCGGCGCGAGGTCTACTTACGATCAGTGGCGGGGCGCCGAAAAGAAGTCCGCTCGCCGGGGGCCTGGGAACAAAAGAAGGTGCTGGTTAATGGGACGGCGGCAAAGAGATAACGATCCACATATAGCTTCGATTGATGACGAGCGGATATCGGCGCATTTCTCATTTCTCTCCTCGCTCTCGCCTCGCCGGAGACGGGACGGAGTCACACACGCGCAGCAGTGCAAGACGCGCGGCGACACACGAAAGGTTCGCACGCCCGGGCCGCGTCATTCCCATCATTATTCATTCAGCCCTTTCCTTTTTGGCAGTCGCGCCGCCGCGCCGGATATGTATTCTCGGATTCATTAATTTCATCATAATTTTTCCGTTCCGAGTAATACGGTCGCGAAGAGTTCTCGTCATTATCCGGGGGCGGCACGGCACGCCACACGCACGCACCAATCTGCGCGAATCAGGCGCAGCTGGGGGGTAAGATGATCCCTGCCGGGACAAGTGGCCGGCCAGACAGACGCTCAGCACGCCCACCAGCCCGGCCTGCCACACCTCTTCGGCACCGCCCCGCCCCGCCCCC